ACATACACCACAGATGCAACTTCTCACAGTAGTACTGCAGTTTGCAAGCCAGCAGCTGACTGCTTACCCTTACTCATCCTTTTACCCTCCACTCATCCTTTTTCCAGCGTGTACTTTCTGCAACCTCTGCACTTAGCATTTTCCATCACACTGGATATACCATTATGCACTAACTTTCTGGTTTGGTTTTCTAGCCATACGGCAGGAGTTGAGTAGAATCAGTACAACATAATGATTGCAAAGCATTTGGACGGTACTAAGAATGCTAGGAAGATTGGATCATTTCTAAGTGTACCAAGGTCATGCAAGATGGTGAGAGAGGACACCGGCACTGTCTTTGTTCTTACACCCTTTTTATTAGCAGACTCAGCACACTTTGAAGCTTGCTGCTGCCTTGGATTCGCTTCATTTTACAAGTCTTAATCTAAAGATTATTAAATTTTAAATTTCTGGATTTTTTAGATTTCATCTGACACTGCACATTGGATTTGTCAGCCTTTTTTGTATTTTGTATTTGCTTATTTAAATGTATTACCTTTCTTTTTAGTAGTAGATAAGAACACACGTGAACCATTTGCTTTTGATAGATGACTTCAAAGTAATTTTACTAGTAGTCTGCAATGTAAATGAAGATCCTTTGCCAACAGAAATGTATTGAGGCATCACCAGAAGAAAGAGACATGTTTAGTTGTCAGCCAACAAGTTCTTTGTCTCAGAGTTATCACAATATTAAAAAATGGTACGTCAGTGCATCACAGTATCTGTGTTCATATTGGTAATAAACTGTTTATTGTCCACACGGCCCTGCCTTTCTTTGTTTCATTTGTCCCTTCAGTGCTGTGTCACTTGGTGGTAGGAGGAGGGTGACTGAGACTCACTGTGGGGTGGCAGCTCTGCCTCCTGCCCTGCAGAGCACGAGGAGAGAGCCCGAGTGCCTGTGGCTGGTGCAGTGGCAGCAGCCCTGCCTTCTCCCCCAGGCAGGCATGGCCCTCACCTGCCCAGCCCTCTGCCTTGGCTGGCTGAGCACCAGTCCTGCAGTCAGGCTGCCACAACCTCAGCAACTTCTTGCCAAAGTGACTGAAGGACAGTGGCCTAAGGCTCTTCTCAGGCCACCATCTGTCCCACCACATCTCCTGCTGTCACTGAAAAAACCACAGGTCCCCATCATCTGTGCTCCTGCAGATTTGCAGTAATAAAAGCAGAGTTCAGCTATTGAAATCCATCAAGTATTTTCCAAGTTCCCTTCATTTCTTCAGGCTTCCATAAAGATTTTATTTTAAAAGCTGGGCCCTGAGGATTGGTTTTGGGAGCAGAGCCTGATGCAGCAGCCCAGCAGGCTGGCCAGGGACAGCCAGCCTGCTACAGGAGACCCAGCAGAGGAGGCAGCATGAGTCTTGTTTGGCAGTCAGCTGCAAAATGTTACCTGTTTTGTTTTGGGGTGTTCTCCAGCACTATTCAAAGCAACCCAAATGCCTTTTGCAACTGAGTCTTTGTTTCACAGTCTGGTTATACTGTAGATTAAATATGGGAGAAATGGGAGAAATCTGAGTTTAATGCAACAGTGAGCTCAAGACTGGGACTGATGTTTGTTAGCTGTTTAATGCCAGCTGAATGCAAGAGAGAGGTCAAATTGCAAGATAAAGATTTCCACATGGGAACTTAAGCAAGTAGACACTGACATGCACCACATTGCAACAACCCCAGGACCACAAGAAGGAGCCATCCCAGTATGAACAACCCGGACAAGCATCAGTAACAGCAGAGATTAGAATGCTCTCTTGTATAAATCTGCTCATGCATTTCCTAATTATAAATCCATTTAATAGCATACCTGATAATGGCAAGTGCTCCTCAAAACTCCTGCTTCTCAAGATGACATCTGTTTTGTGAACCTCTCCTGTAATCTTAACTAAGGTTCTGGAGGTTGGTGCTTGGCACGGTTCATGTTTTTCCTTGGAATGTGGCATTCTGCCTAAGGTCACCTAATAACCATCTTGTACAACCTGGATAAGGTGTGCCCCTGTGTTAACATCAGCCAGCTGCTGTAAATGGGATTTTCTTACTTTCTTCAATTACCTTTGCAGGCCTCATATAATTACAACATAATAAGCTGAAGTTTGCACAGGGACACTTAACAGTGGGAGCAAAGTCTGTGGGGTGGAAAGTGAAGCTTGGCAGGGGAGCAGTCCTGGCATCACTAGCACTGTGCCAGTTCCCAACCTTCAGCTCCAGTGACAGGGATGTGCAAGGTGGATTATTTCCAGTAGTGGCACTACCAGAGGATTCTCTCCTCCCAGACAGTAATTCAGTTTGCTAGCTGTCTCTGCAGAGAAGGGTGTCCTTTCATACTGGGTTTGTTGAGCCACTGCAACAGGGCAGGCCACAGGCATCTTACATAGCAGAAATCTAAGGTGACATCACTCTCCAGTCCTTCCTATCATACAGCTATTTGCCAGAGCCTTAGTGTGTCCAAACAATGAAGGAGATTTAGATCAATTCTTAAGCAAAGGGAATAAAACTATACATAGCTCAAACACACTTTTAACCCATATGCCCTGTGGTTATGAAAAAAACCCTCCTGCCAACATTACTGGTAGTAGCAAACACAAGTGCCCATGGAGAGAGCAGGACCACAGCCTTCTCCAGCAGCACCCCACACGCTGGGACCCAGCTCACACTGCACATCTGCAGGCACTGCAGGCTTCCAGCCAGCTCCTGCTGAGATGGGCAGGGCTGAGCAGGAGGGCTGTGGGGCTGCCCCGGCTAAGCATGTTGGGACCGTGATGGAAATACTGATGGGAGGCAGGTGAAGAAGCAGCTGACAATTTTGGTTGGCTCATTTACACCAGAGCCTGTGTGTCAGGCTAGGTTAGTAGTCCACAGCAGATGTGGGACTGGATCATGAAACAGCTGAGTAAGGGAACTACAGCATAAGGTCACTCATCAAAGAGGATAAGGACAACAGTCATATTGAGGAAAATGGCATAATCTTTATTGTGGTTTTTATATTAACTTATTAAGTTGGACAAGAGAGTTGAGGAACAGCTGCTAAAGACAAAGGAAATTGAATATGTGATCAGAGTGCCAGCAAATCTGCAGTAAATTAATAAAAAACTGAAATTCCCTGACATAAGCACTGATACAAAGGTAATGGAAGTTCCCACACCAGAGGAAAGCAGCTTTAATACTTATAATGTCTTAGGTATGTTCATCACTGAGGAATCAGTAAAGGCTGAAGTGCTGGAAGAAGCTTCATTCTTGTTCTTCTTATCCAAAAGCACAAAATAGTATTGGTGAATAATTTCCAGCTCCTATATTACAAAGAATCTTGATCTGCTGAGCAAGCCTGGGTATTTATTTACCCAACTGCCAAAATCACATAGGTGAGAAAAATGGAGAATGGGGAAATAAAGGTGGAACCCAAAATGCTGCAGGAGAAACCCTGCTCAGCTGCCTAGTGAACAGACAGACTGACTCATTGGATCCAGTGCTGCTGAAGGAAGGAACAAAATCATGTTTAGTGAGGAAATCAGGCTTCCCGGGTCTAATCACATACTCTGAGGGACCAATGAGGCTGTACAATAATACTTTTCTTTGTTATAGCCATGGATTTCCAGAAGAAAAAACCCAAACTCTTAGAGGGCTACAGAAATTTTATATATATAATTTCTCTTTTAACCACTTTATAAGAACAAAAATATTTTGCCAGCTTTCCATGGTAGAGGGAATTTACTAGATGGCATCTGAATTCCTGACTCCCAAAATATTGTGCTGCTTGGAAAAAGGTTATGTTGATTAAGGTTTCTGATGATACAAAATTATTGAGGATAGCCAGAAGTTTATAATTGGAGAGGACAGGCAGGAAGATTTTAGTATGCCAGTAGGTGGAAATGAGAGATGAAAGATGAAAGTTAATGTCAATAGCACCAAGCAAGAGATATAGAGAGAGAAATGACCCCATCTCCATGTTCCAGGAACATCCCCTTAACACCACCAGTGGCAATTTTATATAGCTGGAGTCTCATGTGCTTCCCAGATGTCAAGTTGTGCCCCTTGAATGACAGAGGGAAAGAATTGCCATTATTCTGAAAAAAGTTAGGAACAAATACCACCATGAAGATGAAGACATCTCCATGTCTTCACTGGCACATACTCCTAACTCCCATGCACAGAAAGGGGTGTAATATAGAGGAGACTGAGCAAGGTGATCAGGAATGATAATAATTTTGGCAAGGAAAAATTAAAACTAGAACCTATCCTTTCCCCAGAGGACTTACAGTAGGGAAAAGGGTAAGGTACATGAAGTTATGAATACTGTTGAAAAGGTGAGTGAGGAAGGACCACCCAGTTCCTCAGAGGCACATCCATGCTGCTGATCAGGAAGTAGGTGGAGCACTAAAAAAGGATTTTTCCTTGCCACATTTCAGATCTGTCAGTTAGCAATAATATTATATCATAAGAATGGAAATTCTTTCAGAAAAGGTTTAGACAAAGTTCTGGAATAAAGATCAAACAACAGCTACTGAAATAATGTTACAGACGTACAAAAATATAAACATATTCCATTGCATATACAAAATTTCTGCTATTAGCAATTATCAGAAGATACTAGGTTAGACAAGACATTGAGCTAAAAGCACCCTTGTGTTCTCCAGAGAGTATCATTACTTCTGCATGCCAGTCTTCCCTGCTTCCACAGTCCTGTGCACACAGAGCATCTACTTCCAACCTGGCATCAAGAGAAACATACATGAACTACACATACACATGCTCACACATAACACACAGCAAACATTCCACCCACAGACAAAACTAAAACTTAGGTTTGGGCACTTGTGCCCCGGGAAGTTAATTCTAAGCCTAGACCAAAGGTTCACCTAATCATAGTTCACTCTAATCTAGGTTCTGAGGGTTGAATATACAAATATCCTTTATTAAAAAGTATCAGTTGTCTAAAATTTTAGACAACTTCATTTTCACACTCATCCTCTTGGCATAAGCAGCATGCACCAACTTTAATTCAGCGCATACAAAGATCCTTCTATTTCTGCAGAAAACTGATGTCATGGGAATGAACAAACACACTCCACTGCAGCAGGCAGAGCTGCCCCGTTAGCTTTCCTTTGCCAGCTTGCACAGTCTCTTAACCCTTGAATAAGGACCAAGCGTGTCATCAAAAACAAAGTCCCACAGAACTTGAATCCAGGACTGGTGATGTGGGAGGTTATCATAATATTCTGCTGCAATCTTCTTCACCTGGAAGAAGAAGAGAGAGAATGAGCTGTTTGGCTGAACAGAGTCAGGTGTGTTTCAACCTTCACATTCAGATCTGATAGCACATCCATTACCTGAAGTTACTTGTTATTGCTTGTGAGCTTCTGAAGTTCAGCCAAATGAGATGTATTTAAATGCATTTAGATACTTCTTAGCAGATTTCTGATGTAAGTTTTGCCTCACAGTGTCATAACTTGAAAGGCAATGGATTGCTGCCTTCAGTCAGAACTATTTTGTCTCATTTCAGAGGTGGTGGGATCTCCACAATAAGATACTTTATCCACTTTATCAATTGCCAAGACTCCAGCACGTTATATTTAAAGCCCTGTTTGCCATTCGTAATATTCTTCTGTTGAGGCTTATGGGTATGAGAGAATTAACAACTGAGAAAATGACAGACACAGCCTTGCCCACGCTTTGTTTTCTACCCTGCATTCTGCTACCATGATGCAAATCCAAGAGATGGGTTCCTCCAGCAGGCAAAGAAAATTGCAGGGGTGGTTCTCCTCAGTCTGATATTAAAATTACTGAGATTCATTATTAGGTCACAAGTCCAATAAAATTTCATCCCTGCTACAATTCCCAAGGTCTGAAGACTGTTGCCATCAGAGAAGCATTGTGCATCATTGGCATGGTGCCTGTAGTGGGAGTTAGGCCAGAACCAGAGGACAGAGGTTTCAAAGCTGGCAGGTTCAGAGAACTGTGAGGATTCCCAAGTTGTCATTTATTATTCCTGCTCCAACTAGATGCTTTGCTTTTTGAACACATTTATGAAGCAGCAAAATCTGTTAACTACAGTACACTTGCACATAACTGCTTGGGCATGGTTTTATTGCAGCTCCACCTCCTAGACAAACAAAGCTCTAGAATAGAGTAGTTTGTCTTGCTGAACAGCATGACATCTCTCTTTAAAACCCTGCAGAATTTTAAAGCCAGCTGCACTGAGCACAGTGCAGACTTCCAGTGAAGAGAGAAAGGGTTACACAGAAATCATGCAGGAAGAGGGTCTCATCATCACCCAAGGTATAACGGGGCAACCTTAACACAGCATTTATTGAACAGTTATTGAAAAGGTAAGAATTCAAGTGAAAGTTAAATTATAAACTAGTATGACTCCCTGTTAATTGCCTCATTAATTCAGCTTCCTAGTAGACACATCTCTGTAAAGTAGGTTGGATAATGTACAAGAGCCATTAAGATCTTTTACCTTTGTACCTCTCACACTCCTTGTCCTCCTGCCATGGTAGTGCTGTGCTAGAGATGGAATATTCAGTTCAGCTCTGACTGTATTCTGTCTTTCACTGAATTCCTCCAACTTAATAACCATTTTCTCTATCCTTCTTTAAAGCATTGGTTTGTCCTTCAAAGTACTTAATTTTCAATGGTTCATTTTCAATGATATTCAGACAATATCATGATTTCTACTTAGAGATATTTGTTAATGAGGAACCTCTGGAAGAGAGGTGATTTCCATGTTTCCAAGATCTCTGGACATGCAGATTTGGTTCCCCATGCTCCTTCTTTAAATCCAGTCAGAAATAATTTAATCTGGGTATTGTATCCTCCCTTTTCCCAGCAGGGTAATTGAAATAGCCAGAGGATGAGAGGGAGGACTATTTCAACAGTAAGCTCCCTGGAATGAAGGCTACTCATGAAGCCTGATGCAAACACAAATGGGGGCTCAGGTACCCAGCTTCAAAAGCTTCACTCTAGCTCTGACATGGTCATTACCTAGCACACACTTGCTTAGACCTTCCTTCCTACCTCCATTTTAGAAATTCTGCCTGAATTCTGCCTTTCATCTGTAGTTTAGCCCTCATCTACACTACTCGAGTTCACATAGCAAGTCTACCATTCCCCTCTTCTCCAGAGCCCCATGTATTTCTTGCCCTCTGAATCAGACCATGTTTTCTTACGTAGTTACATTATCCTGCAGAGCTCTTGACCATGTTATATTCTGACCACTACAAGAGCTTCAGGAAGTTTTCCTATACTGCCCCTTGCACGTGGAAGTAGAAAGCTGGAGATTCACAGAAACCAATTCAGCTCCTAGGAGCAATGTCTCAGGCTGCATCCTCTGGCCCCAAAGGCTCCAAAGGAAAAGTAGTAGTGACAAAGTAGTTAAAAATGGCCCAGAGAAGAGGCCAATAAACAGCCTGCCTATGTTCAGCCCAATAGCTTCTGCAAACAGAAGCAGCACCTTGTGCAGGAAGGGAGGCACCACTTGCACCACTCCAAGGTCTCCGGGCAAATCATCTGTAGGAGATGTACAGAAAATATGGAGAAGGGAAGGTAAAACTGCAATAAGAAAAGGAGGAAAGAGAAAATTCAATGGATGCAGTTACAAGGGGGACTGCTGAAAGATTTTCTTACGGAAAAGAAGGAAATTCCTTAGGTACATCTACCCATTCTACTAACACGTGTCAGGAAATAATTTTAAAACACATTTCTCTTTAATAACAGATCTAAGCAAAAGTTTTCCAGCAAAACCATCTCATTTTTCATTATTTCTTTCAGCATCTCCATACATAAAACAGAATTATCACCTTATCTACCAGAAAAACTGGATAGTGGGAGTGCAGAAAGTAATTTAATGCAGGCTCCCTTTTAAATGCAACATCATATGAGCTGTGGCTGAGGGAGCTGGGGTTGTTTAGCCTGCAGAGAAGGAGGCTCAGGGGAGACCTTATCACTCTACAACTCCTGAAAGGAGGGTGTAACCAGGTGGGGCTCCACCTCTTCTCCCAAGCAACAAGCAGCAGGACAAGAGAAACAAGGCCTCAAGCTGCAGCAAGGGAGAAGGTTGGACATGAGAAAGAATTTCTTCACTGAGACTTGTCAAACATCAGAACAGTTGCCCAAGGAAGTGGTGGAGTCACCACCCCTGGAAGTGTTCAAGAAATCACTCAACATGTCACTTCATCCTATGGTTTAGTTGATATGGTGGTATTAGATCAAAGTTTGGACTCAATGATCTTGGAGGTCTTTTCCAGCCTTAATGATTCTATCTCTATTAAGTATGGTTGAGGCTGGAAGAGTCATCCTCTGTGCTACGTTCTGGTTACAATATAAAACCTGTAGATGGCAGTTTCCAGGTAACAAGTTTTGTGGCCAGATCATTGATTGTCTTAAGGAGGATGGCACTGTAAATTAAGTATTCCAAAATCCTGCTCCTCAAGCTCTCCATATATTGCATTGTAGGTGATCCATCTTCTTCAACTCCTCCCTGTCTTCCTCCTTACAAATCAAAACTGTAAGTCTTAACTCATTGATAGTTTGTAAATGAAAATTGAGTCACATCTGGAGTGCTCTGTCCAGTTCTAGGCTCCTCAGTGCAAGAGGGACATGGAGCTCCTGCAGCGAGTCCAGTGAAGGGTGACAAAGTTGATTGAGGGACTGAAGCACCTCTCTTACAAGAAAAGGCTGATGGAGCCTGTTCAGCCACAAGAAAAGACAACTGAGAGGGAACCTCATCAACCCTTTAAGTACCTGGAGGGTGGAGAATGGACCCAGACTCTTCTCAGTGCTACTGAGCAATAGCACAAGGTACAACAGGCAGAAACTGATGCACAGGAAGCTCCACCCGAACACGAGGAAGAACTTCTTTACTGTGCAGACACCGAGCACAGGAACAGGCTGCCCAGAGAAGCAGTGAATATCCTTCACTGGGAATATTCAAGAACCATCTGGACACAATCCTGTGCCATGTGCTTCGGAATGACCCTGTTTGAGCAGGGAACCTGAACCTCACCCAATCTGTGATTCTGTTATCATGGAAAGATAACAAGAGAATGCAAAGTCTGCAGGACAATTACTAGGCATTTGGCACATGGTATATTGAGGCTTTTCTTCAAGTAGGTCAAGGTGGCAGGGCAAGAAATCCATCTTTTGGACTGAAACTTTTGTTCTGGTTCTGTGCTTGTAGAGCACAGTGACAGGATCCTACTCACAGTCTTCATATCTGATAGGTACAAAAGTTAAATGCAGCCTAGTATTTCAGCGTGGCTGTTACACATTCTTTGTCCTGGGGCTATACAGAAACTAAAGATCCTTATGACACAAAGCTGAAAAATTACATTTAGAATGCTCGAAGACTTATTACAAGAAGTTCCCTCTATAGTCCTACATCCCCACCACAGGATGGTGAGCACTCAAGCTAGCCCTCCTAGCCATTATAGGGTTAATGAAATCTGCAATTCAAAACCAGCACATCTACCATGTTTTCCAGTCTTGTCTGTCTAATAAATCTGGTTTTATACCATGTCTTTTCCTTTTCCCACAAGCTTAATGAGTAACTAGTTTGCCCCTGGTAACACTGCCACTTTTATTGTAGCTTCTAGAAGAGTTCCTCCTCCAATCTCCTCTCTCCATAAGTATACTCAGTCCTTCATACAATGAAGAATGGATCTCTTTGCTCATTTGGTAAACAATGCAATATTTTATAGTTGTAAGACTTCATTTAAAGACTAATCTATTCTTAAGTTTACAGGGGTTTTTCTTAGAGCAGGTCCTTCATTGCAAAGTTAAATTTCATGGTCTCTTGTGTAATCTCTCATTATACTAGTGGGAAAGTTCTTACTGGGCACTCATGTCACTCATCTTTAATATCCATAAGCTTATGCTCACAGCCTAATTCTTCCTCTTTCAAATCTGTCACAGTCCTAGGGTAAAGGTCCTTCCAGTGGCAAACACATTACTCAGAATGTTCTGAATGACACACCTGTAACAAAGGAAAACGCTGAATTTACTTTCCTGATAAGCAAGCTGAAAAACTAGTTACTCTCCAAGATTAAGATCCAGTTCCTCTCAAATCCTATTTCTCCCCTGATCTCAATCATGCAGGATAGATCTTTAAAAATAGAGCTCTTTACTCCACTTTCTATTTGCCAATAATTAAAAACAAAAATAGTCTCACTGAGAGATAATCCATATTACACAATGCAATTATTAGAAGTTCAAGTGTCTAAGAGACTAAATCTGAAAAAAAAAAAATATCTTTGCTGAGTGAGGAGTTTGCCAGAAGGTTAAGCAAAGCAGAGCACAGTGAGGTTTCTTACCTGCAATGAAGTTCAAGATTGAAACAGAGAGGATCTGTTTCCTTATGTTCAGGATTTAAAGTTAATCAGAGAGGATCTGTTTCCTTATCTCTTTTCATCAGAGGAGCAGAGATTTTTTTTTTTCTCAATTTGTAGAAAAGAGTAACCAATTTGTTTTAATGGTCAAAGGATTTTCTACAGGAACTGTTTTGCCAAAGAAAATAGAAATTTTTAAAATATAATTCTTTTTAATAGAATTTTTACTTGTAATTGATCTCTTGTCAAACTCCAAGTCTTCCATATAGTTCTGTCAGGCAACAGTGATTGACAAACCTGCTATCTCCTCCACCAGCAGGGCAAGTCTCACTTGCCAAAGAGCAAAACACACATGAACACAAGCCCATGAAATTCAGCTAATAACTCCATCTTTATGCAGGAGGGCTGACACTTGCTGCTGCTGCACTGCCTCGAGGAATTAGGCTGAACTCTTTGTGGTATGGGTGGAGAAGAGCTTTTCAGGTCTCAATCAGGGCTGGAGCAACAGTCCCAGCAAGTTCAATTAGTCACTCACCTCCCTTGTGCAGGATATGGAGCTAACCTCCTTCTCTTCTATTTTCATTTTGGTAATCTAGGTATCTAAGCCCATCTAACAAGTTTGAACATTTGAAACTAAAGCTAAGCACATGCACTTCCCCGCTGAGCTATCAGGTGTATCAGTGATGGGAGCACCTCACAGGAGAACTGCACATCCCAGTGTGGGCTGCTGTACCAGCTCCTCTGGGCCTCACCAGGAACAGGCAGCATCTCCAGGACAGACCTCCAGCAGCAAAGCAGTGAATGAAACACAAGTGCAGGCTATGTAGAGGCTTCCTACTCTCTTCTACACAAGAACATCTCCCCTTGATTTGAATCTCCTCTCAGGGAGTGTTTCTGTGATGGAGAACACGAGCCCGTACAGCAGGGTTTGCCCTGGTATGCCAGCACAGAAGTTGCACATGGTGTCAGTAGTGCTGGGGAGGTCACAGCTCCTGAGCCTCAGGCTCTACCTCCACCTCATATGGATATTGCAGTGGCAGTTCCCAACTTTGCATCAGCCCACAGAAAGATGTTTCCTTCCTGTTACGTTGGAGAACTTCTGTGTAGGAGTAATCCTTGGAAGTCACGTACCTCTAACACCGTGAGCACCTGCTGAGGAGCCCTTGCATTAAACACACAGGAGCAGCTACACACCTGGAGCGGGATGGAAAACCATTCCTAGACACCTGGGCCTTGCAAATTTGATTCCCACAACTGATAAAACGTAAACAAAAAGGGGTTTGCCTTTCAAAGGAGGAAAGCCACAGCACTTTCCCAAGGACAGACCAGGCCTCCTCAGTTTCTGTGGGTGGGGCACGAGAGCTAAAAGGAGTCAGAGAGTGTGGCTTTATTTTCCAGTGCTACCTATGTCAAGCTGGAACATGCCCCCAAAATTATGTCATCTTAAAAACAGAAAAACTTTTCTTTGATGTTAATCAAGCAATACAGTTAGCAGATTGATCATTAGACAAATTTCAAATAGCAATTGCCACCTGCCTCCCTTTAGCGTTTCAAAAAGTTGAAACTTAGTGGCTGAGGGATGTAAATTGAGCCATTTAAAGCCTTGTTGGAGGATTTTATCATGCAAAAGGATTCCTCAAGCCCTCTGAGGACTGGATGTTCTAGTTTGCATCAAATAAACTAAGTATTACAGCAGTTTGACAGTTGTTTCTCTCAATCTTTGGCTCCAAATTAATTAGAAACAAATCCAAAAGGCTGTTCCTTTATTTCTCCCCTTTTTTTCCCCTAAAATTGATAAATTGCTATGATTTGGAGTGTTTTCTTTGACACAGCTTAGCAGCTTTCATAAAAATCCCACTCACTCGTGCTCATGCTACACTTACCATAGGCAATCTGCATCCAGGAATGCTGGGGAAGTCATGGTGCTCCATGTGGTAGCCTACATTGAAGGTGAGCCAGTTCAGAGGTCCATAATAAGAGTATGTCTCATACCCTTTTAGGAACATGTAGTGTTCTGCTATGAAGTGCCCAGAAATGGGATGAAAACCCAAGCAAAGAATAGTACCTGCTATTAAGTAAATAACAGGTTTGAGCCCCCACAGGTAGTAAATGATGAGGTCTATAGAGAACTGGACGAGAGCATTAAGAATTTCCATCCGTGTGATTGCTTTGGGGTTCACATACAGTGGCCTCAGACTGTAGAACAGAGGTTGGAGGAACAGCCACAGCAGCTTCCGAAGCGGCGTGCAGAAAAACCAGCCCTCAAAGTCTGTGGGAATGTCCACATCCAAGCTGTCCCCTCCCAGGTACCTGTGATGGTCAATGTGGTACTTCTTGAAGGAGGCAGAATAGGGGATGCCAATGGGCAGGTTGGCAAAGACTGCGAACCATCGGTTCCACTTGGCCTGCTTGTTCCCAAAGGCCACGTTGTGTGAAATATCATGGATGGCAAGGGTCAGGGAATGGTTGATGCAGCCCCCAAAAGCATAAGCCCAGAAAAAAATCCATTTCCAAGATAAGTCTTTCACCAAGTAGCATGCCAGCAGCTGCATGAAAACCATTCCAGATACAATCCACTTTAAATATGGATCTGGTCCCATCAGAGTCTTGATCTCTGGATACTTTGCTAAAGGGAAAAATGCAGAGAAAAACTTGGTTAGATCATAATTAGGCAAACACAATCACCACTGTGACATTCTGGTTTTATCACACTATGTTTGAGGCCCTGGTTTTATAAAATGTTAATTCCAAAATAGGGTTGCCACTATGGTAAAAGTTTTACTAGTTCCAGCATAATGTCCCATTCTGATACATATTGATATATAAAGACGTATAAAAAACATACCCTGATGGTCTCTCTGTGGCATAATGTACCTTTCCCACAATGAATATTGATTCACAGTGATGAGTAGTAATATGCCAAATCCCACAGGATTTCTGTCATGTTTTTTAAGTTTTTTATGTCCTTTTGTATTTTGCTCAGATGTTATTTTCCACTAAAGGAATACAACTGCCTTCTTTGTAGCCCTTTTCACACTGCTGTTTCAAACACACAAGTAGAGGAGAGAGCTGAGCAACAGGCTCTCCAGGTTTTGCTCTGTGGTTAGATGACAAACACAGCATTAAAAAAAAAATCCTAATTATTTGAGTGTTTACCAGTGCTCACAACAGGTACAATTCTTCACACATAGTAACATCACAGTATACTACCAGGATTTTGTACAGCGTGGCAAATTTTTTTCTGTTCCTATGTCACATACCAAAAGCAGGCATAAAAGCCACATAGATTATCACACAACAGCTTCATGAGACTTCACAAATACTGCAGCACAGCAGAGAGCTGGGCTAGGCCTGTAAGTCTGACTCATGTCAGGCCAGGACCAGCTTATTGATCTTCAGTCCCACCAGCCATTCATCTGTCCTTTAAAAAGAAAATAAGAGTACAGCTGATCCTCTAGGTGCTGTTCACCGATTCACATCTCTTTGCAAATCCAGACTTCTCACTTCCAATATTACCTTGCACGTGATTCCTTCTGCTGCCTTATGGCTTTTAGCCATGCACTGACCTCCTTCCTTTAACTCATACTTTGCATTTCTCAGTAATTGCAGCTTGCACATACAACTGCATAGAGAAGTCACTCATTCTGAACCCTGAGGTCACACAGCATTCCTGTGAGTTTCATGGGCCCATTTTATGAATAAAAAAGTAAACATCATCTGACTGTCACAGTATAATACCAATACAATAAAATCAGATTACAATGATCTGCATCTATGCAGCTGTGTCTACTATAAACAAAGGCTGGAGACAATAGATGGAATTTACGTGACCTTGAAAGCAGTGGTAGATATTGAGCGCTAGATGCAGAGAAGGTTTTTGTAGAAGTGAACCTTGAGAAGTGTACAGAAACTCAAAAAGATGAAGTGCTGCTTAAAGAAGCAGGTTAATATGGGAATGCTCAGCAACCATTCCAATAACCTTTGAGCCTCTTGGCCAACTTCAGCCCATCTTGAACAGAAATTAGAGATTACAAAGATTAGAAAAGTGCTGTGGAAGATGAGGACAAAGCAGATATACTAAAATCTTGTGAGGAAAAGGAGGTCAAGGTCACCATGAGGAGTATTCAGGCAAGAGAGAGATTCTCTAAGTGCTGGGAAAGCTGTAGTGAAAGTTCATATCTTTCTAAAGTCAGAGAAATATTTTGACAAAAATCTCCAGAAACTCCAGGGGTTTTTTTGTTTGTTTTGTTTTGCTGTTTTGTTTCTTGTTGCTGTTTTCACCATTCTTGAAATTATGTTTTGCACACCAATAAAGTTAACATGCCAATAGTTGTCTCTAGTATCTGAATAGGTACTTAAATTTTACATCAAGTGCTGCTTATGCAAAGTTTGCTCTAAAGTACAAGAATATAATAACCTGGTCAGAAAGACTATTACAGTGTAGTTTTATATAGCTTAATCTCTTTCCTAAGGACATCTGTCCAAAAGCCAGAAAATACTTTAGTAAGTCAAGCCACTTCAAATGTTGTCACATCGGGTGGCTGGTAAGAGATAAGTTACTGCAGTCACCAGAAGAGATGAAAACTAAAATAACTAAATCTGCTCCTCAGCCTGGTCAAATTGAGGCCACACTGACACCCCCTCCCCCTGCCCCCACCCCACCAAAATAACCAAAAAATAAATTTTAATTAGATGGGAAAACTGCTTAGAGATGCTTCATACTGTCATTTGAAAATAATGGAAGTTTTTAACTTATTTCTTTCTGTGGCAGCCAACAAGGACTGCAGATTCCATTTGAAAAGTTCCATAGCAGTCACTGCCAAATGGCAACAGTGTGTGCAAGCAGCAATGCAGGCAGGTTGCACTTATCACAGGTGACAGCTATTAAGTAACTTGCCAAGGTTTAATATTAAATTCAACACATGATTAACTCCAACTGTAAACTTTTGCATACTAGTCAAACCACAATACTGTGTCTGTTTATCATTAATACTGATAAAGCCATCCTGAAACTGTGGCATGGAAAAATTCAGGTTTCTCCTCACAGAGAAGCCATGGCTTGGGCAGGGGGGTGGATGAAGGCAGGGACACACAACACAGGACAGGACACAACACCTACAGTTAGTTATGTGACTGCATGGGACCAAGTTTTGCCCTTTACAGTCGAATGAGAACAAGAGATACCCAGCTGCTCTGGTGTCTGCACAGCACATCTTCCAGCCTCCAGCTCACTGAGGACGTCTGCTAGCTCAGGCCAGCAGATAGGTTATCCATGGTGCTGCTTCTAGTTGTCCAGGCTGAGCCACTGCACTGCTGGGAGCGTGGGGACACTGGTGTAGATGTACAGCAGTGCACAGGGATGACTTTTCTGTCTCCAAGGTCAGCACACTGCCAAAGCAGCACAGGCACTTTAGTACAGGAGGTAAATGTATTAGTAACTCGGCCCAGACAGCTCCACAGACTCTCTGCTCCACGGTGATGAGACAGCATTCCCCACTCTTACAAGTCAAGAGACAACAAATGCTTCAAGTTTATTTTTCAGAAAGGTTCACAATTCTGAAACAACCCATTTACTAAATTAATTTTTCACAGAGATGACTCCATTGTTCTACACATCTTTTAAGAGGCAGGTCTCGCTCACCAAGTGACTAAAATTACAAATTAATCTATGTATTTTGTTCCATTGATGCTTCTCTCTGGAGATCCAAAAGCACTCACCATAGCCCTACAGGGATCCTCAGGGCTGGAGCAATTGTTCCTGGACAGGCCATTGGCTGCCAGGTCCTGCTGTTCCTGCTCCTAAGGAGACAGCAAATACCTTGTTCTGAACTTTCACTCATCCTCTGTCCTACTGATTCAGTCCCTGAGATAACTCAGGCAAGTCCCAGTGATGACATCAGACACAATTTCTCATTGATGTGACACTACATACTTCACAGTTGCACATTTTAGTAAACATGGGATTTGAAAGTGAACAAGAGCAGGAGCTGGCCAGAGGGACAGTGGTGATGGAGGTTTAAAGGAGCAGCAGCCTTGTCTACATCCATGAGAAACTAGTAGCAAAAAGAGAAGAGATTTAATTTCTTAGTTTTCCTTTCTTTCCACCCCAAGTGCAGCATATTGATAAAGTCAAAGTGGACATACTTCTCAGTATAAGTCACTTAGAAGGTTTGTTAAAGGGAAGTAGGAAAAAAAAAAAAAATCCTTGATACTGCTGCCCTGGATTGCATTCTATTGATTATGAGTCCCTGCCAAAACAGATAAAAGAGATGCCAGGCACAGGATGTAAGCTTTACTACTATGCTGGAGCTGGTAGTTGTACCAAATAAATAAACAAAACAAATGAAGACAGTTTACTAACATTATAGTGTTTTACCTTGTAGCAGCTCAGCTCAGAAACCTGCTTACAAAAGCACAGCACACCCAAGTCATCAGTGAATTACACGGACAAGCTGGACCAAGTTGGACGGTCATGAAAACTGTCAGAGGGCTGGAGCACCTCTAATAAGGAAAGGCTGAGAGAGTTGAGAATGGAGGCTGTCCAGCCTGGAGAGGAAAAGGCTTATGAACACCTTATTGCCTGTCAACATCTATTGGCAGTTTATAGGAATGATGGGGACTGACTTTTTAGTAGGGCATGTTGTGATAGGCCAGGGGGTAATAGTTCCAAACTAAAAGAGGAGACATTTAATCTAGACATAAGAAAGACATTTTTTACAATAAGGGTTGCCCACAGTTGCCCAGAGAGGTTGCAGATGCCTCATCCCTGGAAACATTCAAGGACAGGTTGGTTGGGGCTCTGAACAACCTGAGTTGATGATGTACCTGGTACTCAATATATTGTATTATTCTATTATTAATTCTATTATTAATTCAAACAATGCATGAGTCAAGACACAGGTAGGATACACAGAGGACAATATGACAACACTTTCTGGTTTTTCATAGTCTGCTGTGAAAAAACCCATCCAGTACACAAAACAATAAGAAACATTTTTGGCCCAGCTAATTTCATTGAAGTTTTATATGTCCACTGTGCAAGGATAAGTGTCTTAATCTTGTATTTGTCACCCACAAGCTTCTAAATATCTTAGTGCTAGCTGGTCCAAGGGCAGTGGGTCACCCAGAAGTGGCCACCAGAGGGAAAGTACCGCAGTGGTGCCACTCTGCCGCTGTCAGCAGAGCTGGATGATGTCAGCACATCACTATGTCAGCAGCTGTAACCTGTTTGCTTACCTTTGTTTATTAGCTAGTTCACAGTAAAAGGATGTAGGAATGCTAGAAAGAGGGCTTCCAGCTCCTTCTGAAAAATCTGCAGTATGGACTACGCTGAAGCCTTGGGTTGTACTCAACACATTTCCCATGGAAGACCACAAATGCCTAAATCAGTCACTCTCTGCCCATGTGGTTTATTTCAAAGGTGATGCCCACAGGGAAGTGGCATGAGCACTGGGACAGCAGCTCTTCTCCGTGCTCATCAGAGGATGTTCACAACCAGGGGCAGCACTGTGCCCACACACTGCAGCATAAAGGGCAAACAGTTTCTTTGCCAGAAGCACATGTACTTCAGAGCTTTGATTTAAGATAGGGACATAATATATTGCATATTTTAGTATGTACAACTTATCAGAATTTTCATAAATGTGATGTTTATAAAGGCAACAGAAGAAACAGCTGGAAGAAATAGCAGATTAATCTCTAAATAAGAGAGCAGAGCTGGAAGCTATACTCAGTTAAATGCTAAAATAAAATGGATTTTGGCTTTTTATTTTGTTCTACCTATCCCCATAGGCTAACATCTCAGGCTTCCTACAGGATAAAGTACATATAAAACACTTGCACCATCTCCACTCCAAAATAACCTGCCAAAAAACTAATTACATAACTATTAAGCATTCTTGGATGTTGGCTCACATTCAGATGTTCCTGGTCTATCCTGAGCAACATTGATTCAGCTCTCATCCTCAGCAGCAAACAAGTGCTTCCCTAAGGAGCCTGTGAGACAAGACATTTTCTGTCTAACTTACAGTACTTTTATAAAGTTAGATCCAGCCCATGGCACAAATACGATCTCACTCTTCCCATGTCACAACATATTGCTCATTGCTTGCATTTGGGAAATTGTTTGCAGGTGGAATGACCATACATTGTATGATTATGGTGTTGCCTGCATTTAAGCAATGATTTTTTTTCACCTCTCAAGAGTGAAAAGCCATCAACACTTCCCACTAACCAGAGAACAGTTTCTCCAAGTCTTTCAGCCCAAGAAATCTTTACTGACAAAAAGCAGAAATCCTATTTCTACTGGATGCCCTCTCTAGGCTAAGCAGATCTAGATGAACAAACTTTTCCATCAGGAAGGTTTTAACCAGATCTTTCCCTAACAGAGCTTACTGCAGCATTACACAAATCCCAGTCCTGACACAAGGCAGTAACAGGCTTTTCATAAACAAGACAGTGAGAGAATAGCAATGAAACAATTCCATTTCATAAACTGAAAAGCGTGAATAACGTGTTCAGGAACATGTATAACGTGATCAGGGTCGAAGTGCCAGCTTGGCAAGAGATCTCCACTGTAAGTCAGAAGCAGTTGCACACAGACACTACTAAGCACAAGCTACATTTTAATACCTAGACACTACAAAGAGAAAAGAGATAAAATATCTCCCCTCTCTTGTGCAAAATGTTGATCTATTTGCTGGTATAATTATAGACTTTAGGATCACAAGCCTCATCTAGTGCAAGTGTCCTGCCACAAAGCCAGTTTCCAGCCAGCCCAGCTGATAAACACTGCTCACAGTTCTGCAGCTCAACTGGAACCAGTTGCCCAGAGAAGCTGTGATGGCCCATCCCTGGAAATGATCAAGGACAGGTTAGGATGGGGCCCTGAGCAACCTGAGCCATCAAAGGATGTCCCTGCCCATGGTAGGGAGACTGGACTCATGGAGCTCTCATTCCAACATAGTCACTGACTACAAAAGACTTACAGACACATGGGCTACTAACTCTTAAGACAGGACAAACAAATTTGTGATGAACTTTTTTTACCTGTCAGATGCTCTATAGGCAACGGCCCAGGAAACACCACTTATAAAGAAAGAAACTGCCTTACGTGTTTGTCAGTTTGCCCATTTTTTCCCCTAACAGATAATTTCCATTTGTATTTAAATCCAAATAGCCATGCCTGAGAGAGACCAACATTTTAAAAAGCTGCAGCCCAGAGAACAATCAAGTTTCAGTGCTTAGCAACTAAATCATTAACCTATTGGGAAGGAAATAGTTCCTTTACCAGCATGGAATGCTGTCCCCAAGGCATCGTTGTACACAAAAATGCAAATTACATGGATTTTTCTAGATATTTGGTCATATGTATTTAAGATTCTTACTGTGTACCCCAGCTTAGCAAACACTAAACACTTTGGTAACTATATACTCTGAATACTAGGTGACCTTAGGCTTTGAATAATAGAGTGAGAATCATTATACAAATATTGTGTGGGATATTATGATAGTTTTGGCAACTTTTGGTAGCATTTTGGTGTTTGTGACACTAGTTTTATAATCCATTCTGCCTCACCAGACACAGATCATTCATGTCTCTCTTTCCATGTTGTATTTCCCTCTGCCCTTCCTTCCACTCCCACAGCTGGGCAGGGGAAGCTGTAAAGAAGGAGATGGACCTTGATTCCAATTGCTTGTTCTTAACTCAAAGAGGGGGTGGGCAAAACCTCTGCAAGTGTGCCGCTGAAGAGTCCTAAAAAGAGTTTGCTGCAACAAGGGAGTCCAAGTACCTCCTTACAGCTTCATCATGGTTTGCCCTCCCCATTCTATAGCACAACCAAAACCACAAGCAAGCAGCAAGGACAGAGACCCACCATACACCCTCCTACCCTTAGCTCACCAAAATGTAGCCCCCTTGACTGAAGGGATGAGGAGCCCAACACCAAAAAGCATCCCTTGCTATACTGACGTAATTTGACTATCATGATTACATAGTAAAATAATTATTATTTTCCTCGATGTAATTCAAACCTGGATATGGATATTCCATGACTGCAACTATACTGGAAATGTTTTTGTAATTTAGATTAATCCTGGATTAATTTCTAAGACTGTGTGGGAGTTAAAAAACTGCACCTAATTACAATATACCTTGTGCAGCAACTCAGTCAGAAGTTCCATTGCCATTTTATAAAAGTTCTTTAAAAACTTTATCATACTCATTAGAGGGAAGAAAACAAAATGACCAACCCACACAAATGAAAAGAGGAGGGAAAATCAAAATATTTTTTATTAATAAAATGTCGGAAATGTATTTTTAGGAGATACGCAACAATACTCTGCGACAATTCTGAATTATCAACTATTCTCAAAAACTATCTTCAGAATAGCCCAAACCCCCCACAAAAATAAGCCTCCCGATCCCCCACGCTCCTGCGAGCAGTTAAACGCTGCGTGTGCAGCACGAAAGTACAGGAGTGCACCTTGTCCCCGACAAGCAGCGGGGACTGTCTGTTGTCCCGCAGCGGATGTGACCCGCGTGCCCGTTTACTGTGATGCCGCACCAAGGCACGGGGAACAAGCGGCCGCAGGAGGGCTCGCAGCCCGCTCCCGGGGCGCGCCTGGCGGAGCCGCCCCCCGACGGCGGCGCCGCTCCCGGGGCGCGGTGCGGACCGGCGGCCGCTGGCACAGCCCGCGGCGCCACCGCTGACCCGGCTCGGCGCAGATTCGGCCGCGGCATCCCCGGAGAGAGTCGGGAGAGTTGGGAGCGCCGCACGCCCACCGGGCTGCGGCACTCGCTCTCCGCAGCCCGGACGCCAGCCCGAGCCGCACCGACACCGGCTGCCCGGCGCGGACCCCCGCCCCGCCCGTCCCTTCCCGCGCAGGAGCGCAGCCCGGCCCGGCTGCCCGAGCCCGGGCCCGGGCCCCCCGTCGTACCCAGGATCTCCTTCCTGCGCTGCGTGTGGGGCTGCTCCGTGTAGACCCACTCGAAGTCCTCGCGGGTGACGCGGTTCCCCATGGCGCTGCTGCGCCCCGCGCCGCGCTGTCCTTATAGCTCCGCGCCCGCGGAGGGGCGGCTCCTCCGCCGCCCCCGCCCCGCGGCCGCCGCGGGCGGGCACCGGGACAGCTCCGCGGCTCGCTCGGGCGGCACAGCCGGGAGAGCTGCGGAGCCCCTCCGGGATGCCGGGGCAGTCCGGCGGGACGGCGTGCCTCGGGCTGACTCTGGGACGGGACGGGCGGCCGCGGCTCGCCGCGCTGCAGGGGCCTCGAAGGCAGCCAGGAGAGGCGGCGGGGTGGGCGCGTTTGCGGGGCAGTGGCGACCCCCGTCGTGCCGCTGCCAGCACCGGGGCTGGGCACAACCACTACGTCCATCGCCGCCTCGGGCAGCTCCAGAGCACAAGGGGAACTCCAGCGCTGCAGGTCCCCTGCCACTTCCAGACACAGCTTTTGGAAAGTAAAGTAGTCCAAACGCCATAAATCCAGAGAGACCCCTAAGCAGAACCGTGGATTAGGGCAAAGCCCAGTTGAGCGAGCTCCTCCCAGGGGTGAAAAGACCTAGAACAGTGCAAAGGCGACCAGCGACTGACATACATTTCCTTGGCGCCCTGACAATCTTTGTGAGCTGTCCTGATAGAATCCAGCCCTTGGCTGCATGACACTTCACTCCTGGTAGTCTGCAGACCATTGCCCAGGTACTGTCCCTGCTGGAGCAGCAGGAAACCACACTGCTACCTTGGTAACAAAACCAGGCAAAGGACTTGCTAACCTTAAAACTAAGGTAACCTTATGTACCTCTAGCCTCTCTGATTCACAGAGTTACACGTTACACACTGATGTTTCCACACACAAAACCCAAAATTAAAGTGCTGCCCTTGTTCCCACTATGTTCTTTTGCAAGTCTATACCTGACCTCCTGTCCATCTTCACTCATTATACTTATCCCTATCATTAGTCCTTCCAACAACAACATCACATGTGGATCAACACCAATTTTGTTTCATTCTGTTTCAATATGAAAGTCTATAGAACCCACCATTCCATCCTACCCTTAAAAAAATCATTAATACAGGTGGAAATTAAAAGGAACAAAAAAGCAGCCTTGAAAAAATGAGATGTAAATATTTTTCAGCAAGAATTTTTTGCCTACAAACACTGGCACCTCTTATATTAGCCAAGTGGAACTATTTAAGATGTCTTGGTAAAACAGTTACACCAAGGGCTAAAAAATATGAAAAATGAAACAACTCACAAACCCAAAACCCTGATGCTTGACTGCTAGGAAGCTTTAGAAGGCTTTTTTGAGAGTTGGAGTTTTTTCCCCTAAGTCACAGAATCACAGAAGCTGAGTTGGAAGGGACGCACTAGGACCATTGAATCCAACTCCTAGCCCCGCACAGGACCATCCACAAAGGTCACACAATGCACTTTAAGAGCATTGTCCAAACACTTCTTGAACTCTGTCAGGCTTGGTGCTTTGGCCACTGCCCTGGGGAGTCTGTTCCAGCCCAACAGCACTTTGGGTGAAGAACCTTTTTTTAATATCCAACCTAAACCTCCCCTAACACAACATCAGGTCATTCCCTTGGGTTCTGTCACTGGGCACCACAGAGAAGAGACCTGCTCCTCCTCTTCTCCTTATGAGGAAGCTGTAACTGCAGTGAGGTCTCCCCTCAGTCTCCTCCAGGATGAACAGACCAAGTGACCTCAGCAGCTCCTCATACAGCTTCCCCTCAAGGCCCTTCAGCATCTTTGTTGCCCTCCTTTGGATGCCCTCTTCTAGCTTAAAATGTAAACCCTTGAATGATGAAAGGTGCAAAGCAGATTGAATGGAAGGACTGTGGTGTACAGGGAAACAGTTTTACCCACAGCAGGAGCAGGAGTTTAACCATTTTGCTGTTACATCTCAGCTCTCTGTAAGTACAATGGTTTCTTCATTATTGCTCCAGCACAAGTTTGGTGCTTGCTCGTGAAGTTGCAGGGTCCAACCCAGATAAGGGACTGTTAAACCAAGTTAAGGTTATTACATGTTTCCAGAAGAAATGGATCGTTCAGAGAGCAGATGCATCGTTATCTCAACCTAAATCTTTAATTGGCTCAAATGTTTTGGTGTGTTGACAGTACCTGTGAAGAAGCCAAAGACACTAAATGTGATGACACCCTTCTGTCACTTCCTGCTCAGGTGTGCTGAAGGTGACTAAAAAATAAATTAGTGGGGCAGTCCATGCAGAAAAAAAAAAAAAAAAAAAAAAAAAAAAAAAAAAAAAAAAAAAAAAAAAAAAAAAAAACAACCAAACAAACAAACAAAAACAAACAAACAAAAAAAAACAACTTCACCCCAAGGCTTGTTCAATAGGATCGTGCTAGTGCATTATGGTAAGTTACACATGGAAACTTAATATCTCCTTTGTAGGCAAACAGCTTCTCCTTGATGTAGCTCATTACTACAGACTCAACCTGACCACATAAGAAGAACAGAAAACTTTTCTGTCTCCAGTGAGTTGGCATCTGGTTTTGAAAGCTGAATTTAATGCTTTATATTTCTATAAAAAGCCAAACAAATAATACTAATTCAAGAGTAATTGTGGGTACCAGACAAACAAGTAACACCGGCTTTAGATCATCTTCTAGAATTGGCAAAAGTATTACCCAGTTCTGACCACTTGGCATACTTAGTTTTACAACATCCTAGTAAAATCATTCACAATGGAAAAGGGAGGGAAGGGAGTTAATGGCACCTAGCAATAATAGCCCTTTTAATGAATACTGTCATGACTGTGAACTCTACAGAGTCACAAAGTCACAACACTTTACACAGCTCAAATGTGCTTCACACGGTCGGGTTTTCTCACCTGTAGCCTCCCTTTCTCATTTAATTTCCCACACTTGTTCAGGATTTCTGGGAACTATTGGGAAGCCTAGCTGAGAGAAATTCCTAACACACTCAGGAGGAAGAGCACAATTGCTGACTCTGTGCAAGGTACCATCAAAATATCTCATTTACATAGCTTTAAGTACACATCACATTAATCTCCGTCATCCCAAGGTAAAAAAGACAAAAATCCTTTGCTCCTCTGAGGACATGGCCTACAATATACAGCTCTGAAGCAAGACATATTGGTCCACAGTTCCACACATCCAGGCAGACTCACCCTTCCTCGCCCAAAGGTGCTTCTCCATCAGCTGGCTTCCCAGCATGAATGTATTTCTGCTATACCACCCAGTCACTTCCTTCTTCTGCTCATGGAAAGGACAGGTGACAGTGTAAATACAGCAGAAACACCTGCATATGTCTCATAGTGACTACTGCCAGCCTTGGGAGTTTGAGGTACATTAATTCTGCCCTGGTGCGCAGGTCTTAATTCCTCTTCTTGTGGTGCCAACAACTAATCTTTGTTAAAGTTGCTGCTCTGGAACTAAAATAAAGTTGTCTGGGAATTTTCTCTCTAAATAAGTTGTTTTCTTCTCTGAAATAAGAGCTCCATGTCCCATGACAGACTTGTATTTTCAGTTACTGCATTACCTACTTGCTTCTCTATCTGCATAAATTGGACCTTCTTTCATTGCCAGAAGAAAACACAGCTATAATATTTGCTTTTTTGTTGAAGATTTTGCTGTCATTTTGAATTAGGTATTACTCCCTGACCTGATGCAACTACTGTCAACATTTACAACGTGACGCACTTTATTGAACAAAGTCAAATTTTCATAGGCTGCATAGTTTGTAGATGAGCCATGTCAGCACACGCCCATACCGAAGTAAGCTCAGGAGAAACAATTTGCCAATAAGACCCCGTTTGTTTTCCCATCTCACCTGTGCTGACCCTTCCTGGGGTCATCCTAGACTTTTGTTTCCATTGGGTTAGCTCTACGCTAGAGTTGTGAGATGAACTGACCGAAACCAGGGTGTTGAGGAGCTGGTGCGGGAGCCTTAGGAGGAGCTAGGGCGGGGGCGGCTCCAAGGGGAGCTGCGCTGCAGGCAGGGCAGGGCAGGGCTCGGAGGGCTCCAAGGGGAGCCGCAGGCAGGGTAGAGCAGGGCAGGGCTGGGCTGGGCTCGGAGGGCTCCAAGGGGAGCTGCGCCGCAGGCAGGGGTGGGGTAGGGCAGGGCAGGGCTGGGCTGGGCTCGCTCCGTGCTGCGGCCGGAGGGCTCCAAGGGGAGCTGCGCTGCAGGCAGGGCAGGGCTGGGCTCGGAGGGCTTCAAGGGGAGCCGCAGGCAGGGCAAGGCAGGGCTGGGCTCGGCCCGCGCAGCCCGGGTCGCAGCCGGGGTCGCAGCCGGGTCGCAGCCCGGGTCGCAGCCGGGAGCGCAGCCGGGGTCTCAGCCGGGAGCGCAGCCCGGGTCGCAGCCGGGAGCGCAGCCGGGAGCGCAGCCGGGAGCGCAGCCGGGGTCTCAGCCGGGAGCGCAGCCCGGGTCGCAGCCGGGAGCGCAGCCGGGAGCGCAGCCGGGAGCGCAGCCCGGGTCGCAGCCCGGGTCGCAGCCGGGGTCGCAGCCGGGGTCTCAGCCCGGGTCGCAGCCGGGAGCGCAGCCGGGGTCTCAGCCGGGGTCTCAGCCGGGGTCGCAGCCCGGGTCGCAGCCGGGGTCGCAGCCGGGGTCGCAGCCGGGGTCTCAGCCCGGGTCTCAGCCCGGGTCGCAGCCGGGGTCGCAGCCGGGAGCGCAGCCGGGAGCGCAGCCGGGGTCGCAGCCCGGGTCGCAGCCGGGGTCGCAGCCCGGGTCGCAGCCGGGGTCGCAGCCGGGGTCGCAGCCGGGGTCGCAGCCGGGGTCGCAGCCGGGGTCTCAGCCCGGGTCGCAGCCCGGGTCGCAGCCGGGGTCTCAGCCCGGGTCTCAGCCGGGAGCGCAGCCCGGGTCTCAGCCCGGGTCGCAGCCGGGAGCGCAGCCGGGGTCTCAGCCCGGGTCTCAGCCCGGGTCGCAGCCGGGGTCGCGCCGGTGCCCGCGGCGCCTCGGCCGCCCCGCCGCGAGCGCAGCGCGCCCCCTGCCGCCGCCGCGCCGGCAGCGCGGGCCGGGACCCGCCCGCTCCGTCCCGCTCGGCCTCCCGGACCCGCGGCTTCCTCTACCCCGGGG